TGTAATGAAAGATGACAAAAGAAGAGGCAATATTTTATCATATTTTTTATTACCTCTCATAGAATCTCAACTTGTACTAAATCCCTCCTAATAGGGGTTTTATCATAAAATACATTAGGCTGATTATTTTCAGTGTGCTGGTAGCTCTATTTTCTCTCTGAGATATTCATAAATTAGCCGTGTGACCACTACTAACCACAAGCCCTTCTCTGATTGGTCAAAAATTAGGTCTTGCTATGTTTGTAGTAAACAAACTTGTTTACTGAAAATTATGCTCTTGCTGAATGAAAATATTATCTAAACAAATAGCATTCCATAGTAGATTAGAGAAATGGGTTGCATAAGGCTGAAGATTTTAACTGCATAATCAGTCTTTTGACCAGTACCTAGGGGTAAAATTTCCAGATGGTCTGATAAGGGCAACTAGTGGACATAGTAAATCATTTATATATCTAAACAGTGTTTATTAAGTTGTGCATATATATTAATTATGTGCTTAAATTTCCAAATAAATTTTTATTTTACTTGCACACTTATGTTAATTAAATGCATTGTAATTTTTAAGACTAAAATTTAAATGTTTACTTTTGCATATATTAACATTACGATATACTCACATTGTCTGATAATATCATTTAGGGTATTTTTTTCAAATAGCCAATTTTTGTTGAGAGCAGGCAGGAATTTGCAAAGAAACAGTTGAACCTCAATTTAATAAGGTGTTTCGTATTTTGTATAACTGGATACAAAAAAAAAATCTACGAAAAAACTGTGTTTTTGTTCTGCTTGTAGTAGCTAGTCCAAATTTCTTTGTATGTAAAATTTGACCTAGTTAATGTGTTTTTTTCTCGCATACAATGCTGGCATTCATTCAAGACAGGAGTATTTAAAGGTGGTTTTGAAAGGCTTATGAAAAGCTTGTAGTTTACAAATTTACATTTTGCTCTGTACTTCAGCAAGGGTCGGAACGGAATTAGGGGAATCACGAGCATAATAATTATACATGTTTACAAGTAAATCTAATAACCTTTGGCATTGACTGCATACATATCAAATTCATTCCACATGTACAATTACTAACAAGTAAATATGCTATGCTGGCAAGGTTGTTAGTTAGAATTGCTGATCCTAAGGCCGTCCAGGGTCATTGAAATCAAATTTATGAGCCTTCGAAGTAGGCAATTGTGGTATATCTAATTGAGATAAAATGAAATGCCTGCTAAAAGTGCACATTTTCTGTGCCACAGGCAAATGTCTATATATGTTTGAGAAAGTAACAATTTATGGGGGTTAATTTGACTTTGACAACCAGATATTTTTATAGTTAATTTGATCAGTAATTACATGTTTTATGTTAAGTTATATAATCACAATGTAATGTGGTAGTTGTGTTTGTTGATTGTCAGATACCAATTTCATTCCAACTTCACACCAACTAAGCCTTTTAAAGTTGGGTTTTTTCGTCTAACCTATTTTTAGGACTTTAAACAAATTAAAAAAAAAGGAAAATGTTATGAGATGCAAAGAAATTAATGTGTAAAATAGTAATTATTTTGAGATCATAGTGTTGAATTGAAATGAAGTTCCATTTATGCCTTAATTGGGGCATCATTTGTGTGAAATGAGAAATGAGCCAAACTTTTACTTCCTGTTGCAAAAGTTCTCCCTCTGCTGCTAATACAGTATGTAGTGCATGGTATAACTGGATTACAATTTTAGCTTTACTTCGTTTTAAAAGGAGTTCAATCAGCCTGGCATACATGTAGGGAGTTTTGTAACATGTAACTGTCTATGCCCCACCCCTGGCACACCGCCCTTCTAAGTTAAAACTGAAATACATGTATATATATGATAACACATTTTCTATAAAAAGCTTCACATGGTTGGTTAACTTGTGGAACGTCCCCAGCTATATATGAGCCGCGTCATGACAAAACCAACATAATGGGTTTGCTACCAGCATGGATCCAGATCAGCCTGCATTTCCGCGCAGTCTGATCAGGACCCATGCTGTTTGCTATCTGTTTCTCAACATATTGTACGTTTCGAAATGGAACAGCATGGATCCTGATCCGACTGCACGGATGCGCAGGCTGGTCTGGATCCATGCTGGTTGCAAACCCATCATGTTGGTTTTGTCATGACGCGGCTCAATTATAAGGATTTCATTTGAATATTCAAATGTGATCAATGCGGGCGAAACAATGAGATGTTTATCTTGTTTAACGGCCTTTAACCATTGTTTAACTTGAACATTAAGTATGTAATTTCCCCCGATAAGGTAATTGTTAAGAGTTGCTTATATTGTAGATCTGCCAGTTGGATGTATGTAACTATTAGATAAATGAGCTGCGTCACGACAAAACCAACCTAGTCTGTTTGCGACCAGCATGGATCCAGACTCTTACTGCATCCGTGCAGTCTGATCAGGATCCATGCTGTTCGCTTACAGACCCTATAACAAGTAGAGAAACTGATAGCAAACAGCATGGATCCTGATCAGACTGCGCGGATGCGCAGGCTGGTCTGGATCCATGCTGGTCGCAAACCCATTATGTTGGTTTTGTCATGATGCGGCTCAAATAATAACGTCAAAATTATATGGCCATCGGTAACAGATTTTTTTTTTGTATACATAATGAATAATTATGGTGTTGTGCACACACAAAATGAAAAAAGAAAATGTTCCAATTTCCTATTGTTATTATTTGTAAGGTATGATTAGAAAGGAACAGAAAAATATGAAGCATAACAATGATATTGAGTGTATAGGTTGCAGGTGTTTATTTAAAATCAGTGATTTTAAAATTAGCATTTTGAAATGCAAAAATTGCTGTAATTTTCAAACACCTATAGAGCTATTATGATTATACCCATACTAAATATATATAAAAAATGCAACATGGTCTTTCCAAATTTAAGATCTTAAAATGAAAATTTTATTTAAAAAAGCAAGCAACTTTTTTTTTATTGTATAATAATATTACATATTTCAAGTAGTTAAAATCATAAAATCCTATGAAAAAGTAAATAATATTCAAAATGACATTAATTTTAAATTTATTTCCTCTTGAATTTCTCTGGTGCCTTTAAATATGTAAGACATGATTTAAACTGCAATTGCTGAAATGACCCAGAATAAATGAATAAATTATCATAAAAATGCTATTATAAACATGATGGTTATTTATACCTCTTAAATTACTTATAAATGACATGAGAGTATTTATTTATGTGCAATCCGAGTGCAATACACTTTGGTTTGAAATATCCTACTTTAAGTACTGTATCAGTTTTGGTATCCTAGGACTTACTCATTTTGTAAAACTGGAGTACAGTTTGCAAACTAAACTTCATGTGACAGACTTCACTTATGTCAAGAGTTATTTTTTAGCCCTTAAAGACTGTACCACTAAATTTCTATTTTGGTTTATCTACAGCACACTGTACATTTGTTGCTATCACAATAATCTGTTAGATTGAAATAAGTTGACAGTCCTGGGAACAAGGAAAAGTAAAATCCAAGGTTGTTTAAATCCAAGGTTGTTTAAAGCTTGAGATTTTAGAATGCTCGACTACTTAACCCTAGGTTTACCTAGTGCTTGAACCACAAAAAGGGGCTTAGCCTTAGCCATCAGTATAGAGTTAGGCCAATCTGCACATCCCTGCAGTCTGACCAGGTCACCATCTTTAAATTTTCACAAAGTCTAGTTATTATTAACCCAAAACGGCTTGGTAAGAAGTAGCTCAATGCCTCATTGCAGAAATGCGGCTGTATAATTAATTTGCTCACTTTCATTGTTTTTTCTTTTCTCCACATTCATAAAAAAACAACAACAATAAACAGGGGAAAAAAACTCCTAAAGATTCAACCTGATGAGCTATAAAAAACTTGCTTAGATTATCTTAAGGCATTGCCTTCAATTTATTGCCCTGAAAAAAAGCTATGAAAAAGTCAGTTAATGCCAAGAAATGTTTTTCAGGTGTTTTGAACCATTAAATAGATAAAAAAAAACCTGGAGATAACTAGATACAGCCAGAGAGAAGTGTGCTGTAGATTTCAGTCAGTTTTATTTTAATTGCCAGCTGGGATTTGTTTAAAATTTGTAAACATTGTGGTTGACCTTGTAGTGTAAAATACTAATCTTGCTTAAAATACAATTCTGACATAGTAACATGCAAATTTGCATAACCTAAATAACGAGTATTTACATTTCATGATACAATCACAATAAACAGCTTTAAAGGTAATACTTAATCTCTTATAAATCAGATTACAGGATTAAGCACAAGTTGAATCACTTTAGATTGAAACAACTTTCAATTATAGTTTGATATATATAAACAAGGTTTAAGAGTTTTAAATCTGCTTTGACCACTTCAGGCCTGACTTGTTGTAAAGCTTAAATGGTTTGCGAAGTAGTCAATTTCCCAATGACATTTGTCTTTAAACCTTTTGTTATGTAGGTTAAATAAGTCGTGTTTTAGTAGGCATTTAAATTCAGTTTCAACCAACTGTTAAATAATGGTCCAACAATTAAGCTTACAATTTACACAATGTATGTACAGTTGCGGTGGTCCAACAATTAAGCTTACAATTTACACAATGTAATATGTACAGTTGCGGCAATGCTTTGAACTCTTGCACAATTAATCTTATTGAAAATTTGTGTAATGATGGGCCGATTGCATCAATATGAAGGGTCAGACCAGCAAGTGGGATAATATAAACTGATGACTGGTCAAATTTTAGTATTTTGGTCTTAAACAATTGACCCTAAAAAAGAAATTTTTCTTTAAAAAGCCGGTCATGCATAATTGTTTTAAATTGAATGGAATGCATGTTTTAGACAAGCCATTCTGGTGGGAAGTCCTCGTTAGCCAGTTGGGTTGGTTTTCTCAGTAAGGACTTGTGGCCAATAATACACATTGCAAATTTTTGTTGTTTCGTACCTTTTCAATTTAAGATTACTCTAATCATTGTATTTGTATATTTTCAGATGAGATAGACATTATCGGCTATGGCAGCGGGACAAGTGACACCGACGACCATAGCAGCGTTGAGAGTGGATCTTCCGACGGCTTTATGATCTCAGCGAAGAGAATTAGGTTAAATAGTTCATACTCGGAGTCCCTTTGAAACGCAGTGATAATCCGGGGGAGGTACATTCACACCCGGTGAGGTTTATTCGAGTCGAATAAATGTTGTTAATTGTGAACTTGTTATTTTTTTCTGGTGATGAAGATCTGGTTTGGAGCGTTATTGCCCCTCGAATATACGCAAATATTGTGTCGATACATTTGTTTCTTTAAGACAAAAAACATAAAAAAAAAAAACTGAAAAAATTATTATTATGATTTTTGTATGACTATTGTGTGGATAAAGTGACAGACAGTTTAATTTCTTTTAAAAGAGAAAAAAAACTAAAAAAAAAAATATTTTGATTATTATTATTATTGAGTAATTATTAACCTTTGAAAAAAAAAAATTTCATGTGTATACATTATTATATGGTTACTGACATAGTTTTGAGTGAATTTTTTTTCTTGTTTTTAAAAAATGCATAGAAACCTCATGAAATATGTCTATATATAGAAATTGACTGGGAAAACATGCACTGTGTAATGTGTGAGTGAGATTGCAAGTATTATTTCCTGCTTTCCAAAGACTAAAATCAAACAGATGGTGACAGGTCAAGGTCGTTGTCATGGCTGCAGTCAAGGTCGTTACTGTGCTTCAATTTTGGATATATATATAAGCAAAGCAACAGGCTTCAATCAGAGAAAGTTTATTAAAAGACAAAATGGAGAAGAAAGGATAAAGAATAAATTAAACAGGACTTTATTTTAATATACTTAGGATTTTAATTTTTGTCTTGGAATGTAATGTTTTACTAGATTTTTCTTTTCCTGTGCCGATTTTCACAAAATTTGTCATTTTTGTAGGAGATTTTTTTTCCACTTGATAGTAGCCATAGGATTAATCCTAAAATGATTGTTAAGCAGTTATTAAAGGAAGTGTAATTGGGAAAATATTGGATCTGTAGTTTTTCATAATCCTTAATTATGTCATTTGAAATCTTCAAGGCAGCAAACTTAACTCTCAAGGAAGAATGGAAGGTAAAAAATACTATATATAGAAGTAAAATAATTATACACACTGTCTCATGAAATTGCGGCTATATAGAGTGAGCCGCGTCATGACAAAACCAACATAATGTGTTTGCGACCAGCATGGATACATCCCAGGATGTACATCCGCGCAGTGTGATCAGGATCCATGCTGTTCGCTATCAGTTTCTCTACTTATAATAGGGTTTGTAAGCCAACAGCGTGGATCCTGATCAGACTGTGCTGATGCGCAGGCTGGTCTTTATCCGTGCAGGTTGCAAACCCATTATCTTGTTTTGTCGTGATGTGGCTCAAATATATTATAAATATATATATGGAGCATGAATGATTGAATTAATGCTTTAAAATTTCTGTTTTTTTAGCAACACTTCCCTTCCTTTGCAATAAGCTATTTTGTTGTTGTTTTCTTTTTTTCAAGAGGCGTCAAATTATATTACACAGTTTTAACCAAGAATTTTTGCTCTTGTTTTAAGAATTCAATATGTATTTGTTTATTTATGAACTTACTTGTGCTTTTAACATCATTTGTGCTCTTAAGGTTTTTTTTTTGGCTTGAAGCTTGAGAAATTTGTTCTCCACAACTGTAGTTGTGAAATATTTCCCCCCTTTTTGGCCCTTTGTGCTGATCGAGTGATCTATGGGAAAATTTGGATGTAAATAAATGAAATGCAAACACTCTTGAATACTAAAGGACTACCATTTAATGAGAAAAATTAAATTTAATAATTATTCGTCAAAAGGTATAAAAACAAGATATTTCAAATATTAATGGTTTACTCAGATATAAAGATTTCATCTTTTGGGATATTTTTGATGAGACTAAACAAAATAATGAGATTAAAATGTGATTTTACCTTAAAAGCCAGTAAATGAGTTTTCTTTACTTAATAGATTACAATATTTATTCTAATAAAAGGTCAAGGTCTTTGGGGAAAAGAAACTAAAAGATGAATAAGGGCAGAAAATTAGGGTGATATGATATTTTTGTAAGATAAAATGGGTGGGGGGGGGGGGGGGGGTTACTTACTTACATTTCTAATTCAAAAACATTTATTTCAATAGAAATTTAAAAACAAAAAACATAGCCTTGGACAATGATGTTATCAACAAATTTTTTTTATTAGAATAAATATTACTAGTGATGTTTCTACTTCCACCGTTATTTTTTTTTGTACTAAACACAAATTGAACCTATGTTATTTATTTTTTTACAATTGTAAATTTTTTTTTTTTTGTCATTTTAAACCGAAATTCTACCATGTCACTTTGTCTCTTAGAATTTTGAGTCTTTCAATAGACTTGTGCTTCAAATGTTTTTAAAATCGGATCAATTTAATTAAAAAATTGATGAGACTTTTTATTGAAGAATGCTCTTGTTGAGCCATTATTTGTAAAGGCCTCTTATATTTTTAAACTTTTGTTGTAAATTTTTACTTGTGTCCTATAATACGTACATAATTCTTTTAATATATAGATTTTGTTAATAATTATTGTACAGTTCTTTTTTAATGTAGCCTATGTGAAAAAATGTGTACATAATGATAAGGATTATATTGAAAAAACAAAAAAAACAAAGAAGGAAATTGGCCAGTTTTCTGCTTTCTGTAATAATACAATGTTTATAGTTATTATACACATTATTAATGTGGAATACTCTTGCATGAAAAATAGGTCTGGTCAGTGTTGACCAGTTGGAAAGGAAGATTTTTGTAAGAGTTAAGATTAGTTATGATATTCCATTCAGTACTTAATTTACCTGAATCTATATTTAGAACACTGTGATTATATAATATTGCCAGAAATGTTGCCATAGCGATTAGGGGGAAGATTTTTGTTTTGTGATTAGTTTTTCAGGCAGGTTTTTTTATATTACTGGTATTTATTATTGGTCAATGTATTATGGTCAATCTTTGGTATATTGGAGTTAGCCATAATAAGTATTTGAGATATTTGAGTACCAGTAATAATTTATCTCGCCATGCAAACATGGTGGATATTTCGGAAATCACCGGCCAGAAGGACTAATCCAAATATTCCATTAATGAAATGTATGAATGTAAAAAAAAAAATGAGAAATTAATATGTGGGTGGGGTAGGAAAAAAACATTACACCAGTCATTCCATTCTTTTGAGAGGAAAGAAACATCAGGTGCTGAAATAATTTAATGAATTTCAGCGTTTTAACATCCATGTTATAGCCTTCAAGGCAAGTAGGTCCATCACAGCTCTGCCTCACCCAAAGTTTGTGGAGAGATTAATTGAAAATTTGAATATTGCTTCTTTTTGTGATAAATTTTTTTTGTGTGTGTTTGAAATTTTTTGACTATTTGAAATCTTGGCACAGAAATGACGGTATATATGTTATGAAACGTTAATGAATTATTCGAATTGATCTCATTTTTTTGAAAAAAAGATTTAAACATCTTAAGTGTATTAAAGATAAAAAAGTTGTGCAATTTTTTTATGTGTGTGACGGTAAAGCTACCCGGTACAAAATGCTTAAAAGATGAGGTGACAGTCACCACTTTGCTTATGTTGATATACCTGCATGTTATGCCATTCCATTGGGATTTGGTAGATTTTACAATCTTGGTCATTTTCAATACTTAAAATATGTTTTTTCTCTCTTTTTTTTTCATACCTGGCCTAGAGGTAACTAATTCCATGAGATAAGTTGTTTTTTATGATTTTGATGATGAGATGTTAAAAGTATTTACTCTTAAATTTTTTTCTTCTCAAATTTTTTGTCAGAAATGAGATTGTTAAACTAAAACACAAATTTTGTTTCTATGTGATCAAGGATGATCAGATTTAATATTGCATTAGTTTTAAAGATAGATTTTTGAATATAAATGAAGAATGACTTTACATTATGTTAGTAAGTAAGTCAATTGGTTATTTAAGAAAAGACAAAAAACTTTTTACTTTTTCAAAAGGAAATTTTTTTGAATGATTTTTGTATCAAAAGCTTGGAGAATTCATCTTTTTGAGAATCTTTCATAAGAATGTATAATATTTTTACAAAGAAATGAAATTAAGAAGGAAACACATTTAGGAAAATTGAAACTCCCTAAAAACATGAAAATCTACCTTTAAACCTACTTTCTGTTGTTAAAATATATATAAATGGCATACTTGTTTATCAAGATGTAAAATTCTAGTAATATTGTATGTATGTGTATATGTATATATATATATATATGTTAGAGTATATATATTTTTTAACAAGTATTAGATCAGTTACCAGAATTTCTGACCTGCACACGATATGTAGATCATTTGTACTGCATAATGTATTAAATGCCACTTAACTGCGCATGTAGACAATACAGGTTTTATCATGTTTTTTTCAAGGACATAGAATGATATTACCACATCTATGTATTTTTTTTCATGTCCTATATTTGTTAACATTTATAAGATCTATGTTTGTGCACTAAGTTTTTTTTTTAAACACAGCTTAAGGGTGTTATGAAATAGGTTGCCTTGACACAGTCCTAATGAATTCATTTTTTGGGTATTTAATAAGCAATTGTGGTGAAATGAAATCTGTGGGGTTTTTGCATCTAAGTATGGCAGGATTAAAAAAGAAAGAATAAAAAGGAATAAGATAGTTTGTTCGGCCACCAATTTTTATTCTTTTAGCTACTTTGTGACCATAGTGCAGTAACAGGTTAACTCCTAGTCAGTATCAATAGGAATTTTTACCCGTTACCGCCTGTTTATTCGGCCAACCTTTTTCAGTATGTTAGCTAAAAGTGCCGATACAAGTTGAATGTTCTCATAACATATGGTGTGCAACATTTCTTTACTTGTAAACCTTATTCATTTACGTAAATAACCTCTTGGCTGCTAACAGTACGTGCAAATAAGCAACAATCTCCAGTTTATTAATCAATGTTTATGTATACCGAATTTTATAGATGGAAAACCTCATATTCATGGAGTTAAATCTATGTTTTAAGTGTTGTTTGACCTATTTTTGAAAATTTGTTGTAGTTTTTTTTTCTTCTGAAATGTCACATGATCCACGGGATGTAAACAAAGTTGTTTTGTTGGTAAATGAGCGAACAAATTTATTTCTTATTGGTGCAAAGCTAAACGGCAGGGTTTAGTCACTTTAATATCTTTCAAACATTGATACTTTTCTCTAGAAAATGGGGTCAAAGACATTTGTCTTAATTTATTTTTTTGCCCAATCGTATCTAATTGTTTTCTAGCGTGACCACTCTATTTACGTATTCATAACATAAGATCTTTTCATCTAGCTTCAAATTAAAGGGTTACTTTGTTAAATTTTCTCAAATGACGATATATTAGGTTAATGAATTGAGATTGGCTCAATTCATGTCAAAATATTTTTTATGTCAAAAGATTCAAACAGCCGATAAGCAAGAATAATCAACCGACCATCTGATATAACCAATTAATCGACAAAAAATGTGGTCACACTTCTATGACTGTGTAAATTTGTGAGTCATACTTGCTGACCAACTTTTAGCGTTTTCAAAATACTAGAAAAACAACTGTTTTTGTATCGCGTGACCGAGTTACAAATCCCAGAAGTGTGTTTATAGCTGGTAATTTAGGGAAATTTGATAAGTGGTGCAGTGCACAGCAAAGCTCGCTGCAGAAAATTACCAACAAAAAAAAGAGGACTTGCAATGATAAATGCGGTTTTCCTTGTTTACATTTGAGAAGAGAGATCAAGTTACAATTTTATCTTAACACATGATCTCAAGGCCATTAATACAATAGGAAAAGTGATGTTAATTTAAATGTGTAGCTTTAAATTTATCTTTACCCCAAAAGCCTACTAAATTTGGTTAATGGATCTGTCCAGCTATGACTTTGGAACAGTCCATTTGAAATTTAAGGGATTCTTGTTTGCAACAACTGACTTAGCAAGCTTAGATAATTGTTTATATCTTAATAGTCTATTATAGGTGAACACCAGTATAGTGCAAGTAAAATTTTACTTCAAATGTATAATTTTTTATATTTATGAAAGAGGTCCTTGCCTCATATTTAAGTGATGAATAGTCAAATCTTGTTTACCAGTGATTCGGTTAAAGCATGAAAATTGCAGTATAATTGAAGCTAGGTAAAAAGATCTTGATTTTAATTTTAATCCTTTTAAAGAGTTAATTGCCAACCGTTTTTCTCAGGGTGTAATGTTTCAAAGTGACACATAACTTGTTAAATATCTTTCTCTCTATTTCCCTTTCTCGTTCCCCCCTACCCCTATCTATTTTTTACCTGACAAAGTGTATTATATTAATGAAAATGGTTATCTTTCATTGTTAAATGGCCTTTTTATTATTTAGGTTTAATAATGAGATTTTAATTTGATAATTGATGAAAGTGCTTTTCTCCGGATATTTATTTTTCATAGTG